GTTTTTAAAGCTGCAGAAGACCAGATGATTGTTTTTATTTTCAATGCTCTAATATGTAAAAGCTTCCAAGTGGCCGAACCAAACATCGACAACAATCGTGTAGCAGATCCACATCATGTTTTGTCATTCTAAATGTAAATTTTTCATACATAATCATGTTATGAATATTCCTTTCAGTAAATCATGTGCAATGTGAATCATGAATTAGTTAATCAGTTTGTCTTTGGGGCTTTTAGGTCGTATCTTTGCTAACACAGCAGACTCTGCTTGCGTGCTGGGAATGAGAAAAAGGGCACTCACCTTCCAACCTCTCGCTGAATTGAAGGAAGACACAGATTTTGAGTATGATATATATTTTCGAGCTCACATGTTGTAAGAATATAAGTACAATAACAAGCATCTGAGTGAATGATCCCTCCCATCTGTTGCAGGCGCCGCATCCCTAAGACACAGTGGTGGCTGAAAATCAGGCCCATCATGAAGATCTTGGCTAAATATGACATCAAACTGGACACGTCTGAACACGCCGACATGGAGCATGTGATCAAGAAGAGTAGCTTTCTTGAGAAGTAGACGCCATCTGCTCCCTGTTAGCACGCAGTTGGACAGGGGAATTTTGTTCTTTTCCATAAACAAACTCATGTTTTCTTGTTTACCCATCTGTCTGCCTCAGTAAAAGAGCTGCTATCGTTCCTGTCCTGATTGTTTGCTTCCTCTTTGTAGCCCTCATCCTGAAAAGCTTTTCCTGAATACACAGTGCAGAAGAAAACAAGGCATTAAAGATGACTGATAATCCCCCCAAAACACTGTGTTGTTGGTGATTAATGCCAATTAATGTGATCTGTCCAGAGAAACTAGCAGACTAATTTTTAATTTACACTCTATTGTGGAAATGGTGTCTGATCAAAACCCATACAGCGAACACAGTGATTAAAAGTTTACATATTTAGCAACTGCGTGACCTGATGATCATCTAGACGTCATTTAGAAGTGTTTTTGTTTTGTTTTTCCTTGTAGCCACAGTAAATTGTACCCGTTACACCTATACATATGAATTTTAGCTCACTGGAAGCGCTGATATAATTACACCTAATGCATCTGAATTAGTAAGCCTCAATCACAAATCTTTAGAAAACTTCCTTTACTCCAAGAGGTTCTTGCCCCCGAAAATTTTGAACCCCAATTGAAAACCATAGATGTCTGGTAAAAGCAGCCAGCTATAATAACGTGATCCATCGGTACACATTCAGCCTCCTTTTCTTTATCCTGATTATAAACAATACTTGAGCTGGGTGCAGCTAAAGATGGACTCATTGCGATCTGTTTTGCTGCTCCTAAATATCCTCTGCACACGTTCAAACACAGATATATTATTCTCTGAATAAGCTCTGTTTGTATGGGTTTGTCATAAAGATAAATGTATGTGGAAAAAGCCATAACAAAAAGAGATTACCTATGTTTAACGAAGAACTGTGACTACAACTGAAGCAGCTTTTGTTTTGTTTCATTTGTTTTTAATAGATTTTGGTAAATTTTCTGGTAACAAATGTTATAACATGTTAATAAAAGCTTTGTTTACTGACTTATTCTTTTGAGGCACTTACTAATTTATGGTTTTGCTGAAATTCCCATATTGCTGTGATGACACGTAGACTTGAAAAGAACAAATGACTGATTTATAGAACCCTGGCCTACTCGCTCGCCACTTTTTTAAGTACACACATTTAACTGCTTTTTAACATAAATAACTAATCAGCCAGAGAAGTAACTTTAACCTCCTAAGACTTGAGCTCTTCCATGGCATGCATTTTTGATATTTCTTTGATATTTGGGCATATTGGGACCTCATGAATGTAAAAACAAAGAATTGCCAGATCTTTTTTTTTTAACCTGATTTTTATTTCTGATAAAAATTAGATCCACATATGAGGACATTTGTTTTAAATTTTGATAGAACAGTGGCAGTAGAATGTCCTCCTAAGTGGATATCAGGCACTTGTAGAGAAATATTAGTGTTTTTAGGTCTAGACAATCCAAAATGTGATGTCCACATATGTGGACGCAAGGTCCTAGGAGGTTAAATGTGATGTGGTTGTTTGTGTGGGGCTGTGTCCATGTCTATGGTTTCCAGATAATGGTCTGAAAAAGAGAAAATATAAGTGAGCAGCAGTTCTCTGTGTGAAACTGCTTTGTTGATGCCAGAGGTCAGAGGAGAATGGCCGCTTTGAGCTGATAGGAAGGCAACAGTCACTCAAATAACTATAAGTTAAAACCCAAATATGTGAAAGAGCATCTCTGAATGTATAACATGTCAAAACTTGAAGCAGATGGAGGCCACACCGAGTGCCACTCCTGTCAGCTAAGAACAGGAAACTGAGGCTAATTTGATCAAATGCAAGATTGTAAGAATCCTGCTTGGTCTGATGAGTCAGAGCATTGATCCATTCTGCTTTGCATCAAGCTGTGTAGTGTGCGTCAAACTCAGGTTAAAATTCAGAAAATTCTTGGTTTTTCAGTAATGATATCTGAAAATCTTTGCAGGTCCCTGTGTCTTTTGTCAAGCACATGTTTGGGGCTGCACACAAATACCACAGTCCCTGAGTGCTTTGTTTTGAATGGTACATAAACACTGGAGCCATTCTCATTCACAATGTTGATAATCCAATTATGGATCCATAATTACCAGCATAATAGAATGTTAGCTATCTTTGAGAACCCATTTTCAGGTTAATGAAATTTATTTTAATCACCTGTTCCTGATTGCATCTTGAGCAGGGTGCCAGGAAATCTGATTACATCACAGCGCTCTCCTTTTTACTTCTTTTGCTGCCACACAAAAGGTCCCAAACCACTCATTATTCCTGCTGGTAATCAACAAACTGCCTTTTCACAATGTAATCAGCACAGTAACTGAAACTGAAAGCCTATACTTCAGAGAATTGCAGCAGGCTGGTGGCCTGTATATAAAGCTTATGCAGCGCCCAACATAGTGCTGCATTTAAGCTGCATTTACAAGAAGTAATAAGAAATAATGAAAACACGCATGAAGGGTGAAATGGCCTACAGCACAAAAAAGGTATGTATCCCAGTGTGTGTCTTATTATTTATGTATTTATGTCATGTATTTCTTATGGTTTAAAGTCAGGAAGATAAGTTCAGATTCTCTGGTATCCGAAAAATAACGTTAGATGGATTTCACCTCTTGTATTTATTTATTCTTTAAAAAAACAAAACAAACAAAAGACAGCGACTGGGTCTCGATGTTGGTGCTCTTACTAAAGAAAAACTACAGTGTAAATCCGGAAAAGGAAATAGCGCTGTAGAGGTCACCGAGTTCTCGCGGTGGCAGCCGGGATTTCGGCGGACTGTGTGCCTGCGCTGAGGAAAGGTGCGTGTCCCCAGTGTCCGCTCCGGTCGCCCGGTTAGGAATGCGCCTCACGAACCCGGTGTGTGGTATAGTATTTGACGAAACGCCAGTGGGGACCGCCGTTTAAGAAGAGTCATGGTTTGGCACTGCTTGTACCATTAGTTTCTCGGCGTGTGAGCTTGATTCATTGAGCTAGCTAGTCGTTAGCCCGCTTCGTTGATTCATACGCACGCTAGCTCGCTAGCTTCAGTCTGTAGCATACCCGCTAGCCGGTTAGCCAATCCAGAGTCGAGTAGGAGAGGACCAGACTGACTGCTGAACTCAGCCGGCGTTTCGGGGAGACGCGGCGGCGGTGGTGGTGGCAGGAGGGGGCCGGGAGAACGCGACGGGGTGGAAGTGAGTCAGGAGCGGCTGATGAGTTCAGACCAGAGCGGAGAGCCGCCGCTGCTGCAGGAGGAGGCTGATCCCGGACCGAAGACCGGTGGGAAGGACGAGGCTCCGCTGGGGAGCGAGGGAGGGTCAGGCGGCATGGTGAGTGAGGCCTTCTTTAGCGTGTTAGCTTACTGGCTAAGCGACTGCCGCTTTCTAACAGGGAGACCTGTTAGCACAGTACGCCCCCTCTGCGTAATTAGCTTTGTTATTTATTACACATCTGAAATTAACTCAAACAAGATCAAGAATGAAACTTTGAGCGCGTTTGTGAATGTGTGAGTTTTTGCGTGACTGTTTTGTGACCATGTGAGAAAGCAGGACCAGAATCAAAGACTTTCACGAGTACTTACTCTACTTTCTGCCAGTACAAGCTTTACTTTTACACACTTGGTGATGGTGGCGGTGTGTGTGTGGGGGGTTATAGCAGTAGCTCTACCGCAGCTCATTTAGATAGCTGCTAACGGTAGCTTAGCCGTTGTAACCAGCAAGCTCATTAAGTAGTTTGCTGAGTAATCATTAGCCCGTAAATTAAGCTTTGACAGAGCTTTAGGATGACGGCGGTGGTATTTGAAGCGGGCACGCGCCGAATCAGTTGTTTTCCGTTAGCGGGTGAACGATGCTTCAATTACTGGCCGAATGATAGTGTTCATTCACTCCGTTATCTGTGAGCTAATCGCGGTGCTAGCAGACCTAGCTAGCGCAGTGACATGCGTTGCAAATACCTGGCCTTTGCTGCGCAGCGCAGTCAGCTGACATTGCTTGGCTCGCTGTGGCCTGTAACACAGAAGCGTGCATTGTAACCATGTGTCAAGTTGCACCGCACATAAATGTCCGCGCTTGTCTGAATGGCACAGAGGCCTCTCCTATGGGTATACATCCCGCTCTTGTTGTGTGATCGGGGAGGAGAAGTGCCCTGAGCCATACTACCACCGGCAGCTGCTCTTGTCAGGCCAAGTGCTTTTGCAAAAAAGAGCCAGGACCTGTTAGCAGGTGGTGAATGACAATGTGAAGCAAATCTGACAGTTTAGCAGGAAGCTGCCATCCACTTTACACAAGATTAAAAACACAGTCCACAGTTAGCTCACATCAAGATCACATCGGTGTCTGTAGATCTTAATGTGTCAGTGTGCAATCTATTCTTGGCCACAGATCTTTGCAGGGTCAGGATTTCTTCTGCCAGACCATAGCCGGTTTGGTATGGAGAGTCAGATCAGATCTGTGGATAACATACATGAGAAATAAATTTATGCTGGTGAAGGTAACATGTAACGTGTTCATTTGCAAATATTTTGACTACACACAGCTTTTATAGTCACCCCTCCTTGAGGTGAACAGGGTAAGGGCTGATTTTGTTGACAGGAGATCACAAGGCCTTATGGGGACATGTGTCACTGGGATGTTCCAGCCATCAGTATAAATTTAATCAATGAAAATCAGCAGACATAGCTGTTGTTGGCTATGACCCATCTACAGCTCCTCTCTTAGTCTATTATGGTGTTGTTGAAGACCATAATTTAGTTTGGCTTTGTTGTCCCCTGGTGTCAGAATCAAAATACTTTATTAATACCAGGGGGAAGTAATTTTCATTCAGATGCAGACTTAAAACATAAATGGGAAAAATACAAATGAAATATAAAATATAAACAAAACTGAATAAAACTAAGGCACTCAAACTGCCATATTAGAACAATGCTATAAACATTATAGACAGTGTATTAGTTATAACAGTCTAGGTGTCATAAGGGGGAGTTATAAAGTTTTTTGGCCAATAGTAGGGGTGATTTCATGTGGTGTTTTTGTGGTGTATTGTGGTTGAATGAGTCTTTTGCTGAACATGCTCCTATGGCTGTCCAGCACAAGGTAAAAAGGGTGTGAAGGATTGTTCAATATTGACTGTAACTTGGATTGCATCCTCCTTCCTTAAACCTCTGCTGGAGTAAGGGCAAACATGCCTTGAGACGTGCAGCAGAGATCTAAAATTTAAAACTCTGTTTCTTAAAAAGGAATAAAAAGCAACTGGGAAAAAAAAGAAGCAAAACTCAGGTGACAGATGTGTAAATGGTCACGCATTTGTTAGTCAAAAGAGCCCTTATTTGAATGCGTCTTACGTTTGAAGAACCACTAAAAGCATTAAACAGATGAAACGTTGTGTGCATTTCAGTGCTTAAATAGAAACTCTTAAATTTCAACAGTAAAATTTAGATAACTGACAACTTACCTCTGCTCAAAAATAAACATCACTCTGCTTTCAGTGTTTGTCGGAACCAAATTTGATTGATCCTCCTCTTTCTATTTCGAAGGTCACCTTCAAGGGTGCTGGTTTGAATCCTAATGCCAAGGTGTGGCAGGAGATGCCCGTGGCCCCCAGCGAGACCGTTACCAGCAACCCTCATTGGTCTCCCTCGGATCTCAATGAGGGTAAGAAATGAAAGAGTATGCTAAACTGATTTTATTGCGCTTTACAGCACGTGTTTGGAAAATAAGTTTGAAGGCTTTTTTGGGAAACTGGACATTGTGACGCCCATGTCTACTCATGGATTATTTCCCCTTTTTGAGTCAACACTCCTAACGTTGTTATTGGTGTTTTAAAATAATTTTGGGGCCTTACTACTTTAAAAAAAAAAAAAATCTTAGATAGCATCTGTATAAGTTGCAACTTTATTCATGTACACAAACAATAAATAGCTAAACCATCAAAGATGCGGGTAAGTTTGAAATAGACTGTGCTCTTTCTGAATCAGACTCTTTACCTTGTTCACAGGTTACTCTGAGCCTCCGTCTGCTGGG